ACGTAACGTCACATCACTTGAGGCCTGTCTTTAACACAGAGATCACATCCATGTCTTCATCACTTGTATTAACTCTATTATAATTACTATTATGTCTGTTATTTGATAATATTGTATACAATTTATTTAACTTATTATTTAATACTTTGCATATATTACTAGTCATTGAATGAGAATGCAGTCAAACTATCGCTAATTTTATTGCAATCATTATAATTATGATTTCATTTTTCAATTTAAAAATAGTTTTTTGTTTCACAAAATTTAGTTTTTAGAAGAAATCAAGAAATTGTTTTTCGTTTAATAAATAACAGTATTTGAGTAAACAGTTTGTGTAAAACATCTATTTTTGTAATGAAAGTAGTTTTTATAATTTTATTTTTAATCAAAATGTTTTTGTTATTAGTTTAAATTACTTTAATAACAAAAATAAATTTATTGTAATTTGTCGTATAATTATATAAACCATTGGAAATGTCGATAATAAACGAGTTTTGCCATTTGAGCGCACATTTCACAACAATTTGCCAAAATTGTTGTTTAAATCTCAAACTTCTAACAAAGTCTTCTAATATTGACATAAAGTCTTATAAGAAAATGAAATGTTGTTAACTAATCAATAACTGGCGATAAAGTTTTCATTCTTTCAAATGAAGGCTTATTTTTGTATAATTTCTATAACTGATGCAAAACTAATAGCATATTCTATATCAGAATGATTAATAAATGGTTTGTTAGACTAAGATATGTGTATTTCAAGCGCTGATAAGTTTTAACAAAGTAGTGATCAGTGTTTCTAAGAGATGAAGGAAAGTGAGTTGAATATAGAGTATAAGCGATTGCATCCAAGAATACAACACAAGTGTTATAACAGTAATAGTTTGGCACCAATTATGGTGTCGGGCGTCGGTCTGTGCCACGCATTCTCAATGCAGAGCAACCGATAATTAGATGGTATCCGTCATCGACTCATACCTAACTTGGATTTTTAGATTACTTTCATCTGTTAGTCGACGCCTACACGTTGTCATCAATTCCGGAACCACTGAAACAAACATTTGTTGTCTTTTAATCGAGAGCCAAGTTTTCGGAGTCATTGCTTACATTCATTGCACCCATTCTTTAATCGTTTGAAGCGAACCTTTCGATTCGTTAACAGATAATTGATTTATAATTTCAAATGAACACAATTTTTCGCTATGAAAACTATAATTCATCCTTTATTTTGAAAATAATTCAATGAATGAGTTTTCATGTCATTTAAATAACAAAATCTATTTTCTAATCGTTTGATTTGTAAATAATGGTAAAACAATGAATTTATAATTTTATGTGTAATGAAACGATTTTAAATGATTTTATACACAAATTTGATTCGTATTTCATGTTAAAAATATTAAATACATTATAAGTAAAATATTTAGTTAAATAACTCTAATGACGTGATTCGAGTGAATTGCTGTCTTCGCTGTTGCCGTACTGTCTCTCTGTTGCCTTCGACTGTAATTAAGAGTTATTATGGTATTAGTAAAATAGTAACCAATATATAAGAAGAGGTAATGTCTGACCAGTTTGTATTTCACACGTCTCGGCAGGTCTTCGGTTAGTTGATAAAAGTCCTCTCTTTTCACTTTAATCAGTGATTCGTCATCGAAGGCAATGGCGTACACAACAAAACTGTGTCTTCCCGTATAATTGCCGTGAAGATGTTCTTTGTTCCAAATCACTTCCACTGCATCTCCAATTTCTGGCGGATCTTCTTCGCAGTTCCGGTTCTAACAAACCAATCGATTGCATCATTAAAATAAATTATCATCAAAAATATAGTTTAGTAATAAATATGTACCAAAAAGTCTGATCCTTTGAGTTGTTCAGTGAATGAATTGTCGTCAAAGTGGACATGGTGAAACACCTGTTCTATCTTATTGACAATCTTCGCCTTATAGAAGCGACTATTCTTATGCCTCGCTATCACTGTCTCACCATTTTGTACATCATTTAAGACTCGATCGTTTAATTTCTTTTTATTATTTTGCGCTACATTTGAGCACTTTTTGCAAGCAATAGTAATGGGTTCGGGCCAATCACCGGCCGCGTACACCACTCCGTTTCTGTGTCCGCACGTCACGTGAAATGACGCAAAACACTTGCATTGAACACAATAACCAGAAAAATAATCCACCATTTTATTGTCCGGATTCTCTTTTCGACAATAAATACATCCCTTTTGTAAAAAAAAAATTAGTTTTCTTAGAATAAAATCATTATTAATAAGAATTTAACAAAAAATGAATACCGCTCTATCAGTTCGTCGCGATTTCTTTAATTCGGACAAATCAATAGGTTTTTTGTCGATTCCGTTCACAAACTTCACGTCAGGAATGAGAAGAGCACACGAGATGTGCACCCATTGCTTCTCTCCGCATATTTCTGTTGTCTGCTTGAGTGGACCGCCTCTTATGGGACAGAGACTACAAAAAGCAAAAAACTCTCTGTTTATACACCGATCGCATCGCCAGTTCCGCTCCGATCCATCGAACAACAGGTTTGAAACTCCATAACACACTGAAGTCAATACAAAATTATCATTAAAAATATTCATTAAAAACATTAAAAATATAAATACCTGAGTGAACACATATTCTGCAGTCAATGCACACAATCAAAGGGGAAGTATCTCTGGAATCAACACACTAAAGTCAATACAAAATTATCATTAAAAATATTCATTAAAAACATTAAAAATATAAATACCTGAGTGAACACATATTCTGCAGTCAATGCACACAATCAAAGGGGAAGTATCTCTGGAATCAAGTAAAGTGTTCTCATCTTTGACTTTAGAGGTAAAGGCAAGGCTTGGTATCAGAATTTGACTCGATTTGGGCGGAGACCACGACTCCAGGTCTGATAAGCGGGCGTTTGGCATGAGTTGATAGGGTTTGAGTAGATTACAGATCACACAATGCGGGCCTATTGTCGACATACAGATGTTGAACCGAATCTCATCGTGAAAACCCTGTGGAGAAAGACCACAACTTAATGGTGTGTATTGTAATGTCTTCTTTGTCAGCTCCTCTAAAGTCAAATCCTATCAAATAAACCATTTATAGAATTAATCAATATTAAAAATTTTAACATATTATTTGGATCACTATTTATTAAACTTTAAAGTTTTAATATAAGTTTATTCTACACACGAAAATCCAGTAAATCCAGAGGTATATTAATTTGTATAAAATTATATAAAAATAGTGTTCGAGAGGGGGAGGGGTTCAAAACAAATCAATTGATCATTTAATCCTGGTCAATGAGAGGGAGGGAAGGAGAGAGAGAGAGAGAGAGAGAGAGATAGATAGATAGATAGAGAGAGAGAGAGAGAGAGAGAGAGAGAGAGAGAGAG